TTTGTTTGAATGAATATATACAAGTTCAAGACTGGAGATGTTTTAGGGAAAACCCTTCTAAATTTAGCTTCATGTTTTCCAGACCTGATGATTGACAGTCCTTTAACACTGGGCCTTTTTTTTGCCTATGAAAATATAATTAAATATGTTAAAGTTAACAAGGTCTATATTTCAAAAATATAAAAGAAAATAATCCAGTAAATACATATATTAATATTTTATGGAGCTGACTTTTATATGACAAAAAAGCAATTCCATCTATTGTGCCATGTTTACAATAGGTATTTAAACTTATTGGGGTATATATAATTTGTGTGCATTAAAATCCACAGCTTTCAAGTTTATATCTTGATGAATTTGTACAATCCACAAGATCGCCTCTGCCCTACTTAACAAGTATATCTACCAAAGTAACTATTATTGTGACTACTCTCATGGATTCCTTTTGTCCATTCTGAACATTATGTAAATGAAAGTATAGCGTATGTACTCTCATCCTGGCTTTTGTTGCTCAATGTTTATGAGATTCATTCATTTGTTGCATGTGACAGCAGTACTTCTTTTTCTTCTGGGTGATATTCTGTTATATGAAAAAAGAGCACAATTTATTATATTCTTGGTGATGGCGAGTTTGTTTATTTTTGCCTTAATGGTAGTTACTGCCATTGAGTTGATTCTCACTCACAGCAACCGTCAAGGACAGGGCAGAACTGTCCTTGTGAGTTTCGGGACTGTGACTATAGGAGTAGACAATCTTGTTTTCTCCCAAGGAGCAGCTGGTGGGGTCAAACTGCTAATGTTGCCATTATTAGTGTCTTACCTTTAATAATGTTAACATAGTGATTGATTTCAGGATTAAATTAATTTACATTGCTAAATTAAAACTTTTGTGTGCTACTCTATTTGATTTCCTAAATATATATATGTTTTTGGTGCTTTGTAGCTATTTTATGATACAGATCTAAAACTTTCTTTTACTGTAATGCCCTTTTCTACTTTCATTATGAATGCTGTATTGACCTCAGGGAACATATTGGAATGTGTTCTTTCTGTTTTTATTCTCTAGTCTACTAATTATTTTTTCTTGGAATTTTGGGAATAATTCAGTTACTCTTGGAGTTTTCTTATAGATTCAATTTCCTTAGTGGCTATAGGATTATTAGGATTTTTTGATGCATGTTTCAGTTTGGTAAGTTATATTATTCATATAAATTGTTTATTTCAACTAAATTTCAAGTATTGGCAGAAAGTTCTAAAAACTCTCTATAATGTTTGTAGGCTCTTTAGTGATATCCTTCTTCAGCTTGAGTTTTCTTCCCTTGCTATCATGCTAGTGATTGTCATTGTTAATCTTTCAAATAATCAACTTTTGGCTTTGTTGATTTCTTTGTTACACATCTACTTCCTCTTATTAATTTCTTATCTCTATTAGTTTTTTCTTTCTACTTTTCTTAGATTAATTTTTTTTCTAATTTCTTATGATAGACATTTTTCAACATATCTTCTTTCCAGAAATACTCATCTAGAGAATTTTTCTCTAAATACAGAGTTTGCTATATCCCACACGTTTTACTATGTTATATTTTAATTTTGACTTGCATAAAATATTTTCTAATCACCAGTGAGGTCCTGCTACTTTGATCCATGAGTTATATAAATTTTTTCTTAATTTAAAAACATTTTGGGAATTTGTAATTACCTTTTAGTAATTGATTTTAGGGTAATTCTGTGGTGGTCATAGAATTCTGTTATTACAGTATGTTTACTGTTCATGATTTAAATTCTACGAATTTGTTGAGATTTTTTTCAAGATTTACTAGCATGTTTTCTTTTGGCAAGTGTTTCACATGAACTTGAAAAAGGTGCATGTTCTACAGTTGAATTTAGCGTCCTGTACCACTTTGTTTGTTATTCTGTAAATAACTGAAAAGTGTTCATTGAAATCTCGGTGGCAGTGGATTTATCTATTTCTCCACCTTTATGTATTTTGAAGCTGTTGGTGGATACAAGATTCAGATTTATTTTATTAACCTATTGAATTGACATTTTTATCTTTATGAAGTGCTCCACTTATCTCTAGTAATACCATTTGCTTAAGATCTACTTTGATTGATGTTTATATAACCATGCTAGCTTTCTTTTTACTAGTGTTTGCATGCCACCATTTTCCCTGTACTTTAACTTCCATCTTTTGTGTTCTTGTGTTTAAAGTATGTCTCTCAGGATATATATAATTTTTAAATCTACCTTTATGTTTCTCTACATGAATTACGAGTTTCACTCCAGTAAATGGATATAATTTCTTTCACTGCAATTGCGCTGAATTGACTCCTCGTGACCCTATGGAACTGGATAGAACTGTCCCCCTTGGGTTTCTGAGATTGTAGCTGTAAGAGTAGAAAGCCTCGTCTTTCTTTCACAGATTGACTCTTGTCCAATTGCTGACCTTGTCGTTAGCAGCTCAATGCCAGTTATATAGCATAATATTCATCCTTTAAAAGTATGCATTCATTTCCATTTTACGTACTCACAAATTTGTACAACCATTAATTCCAGAACATTTTTTATCACCCCCAACAGAGATGTCATACTATTTAGCAATCACTCCCCATTACCACTTCTAGTCTGTCAACTCGCAACCGACTTTCTCTGTAGGTTTACCTATCTGACATTTCCTTTAAATGTAATTATATAATATATAGTCTTTCATGTCCAGTTTCCTTCACTCAACATTAGTTCGTACTTTCTTCCTATGTATGGCTGAATAGTATCATGGATCTAGCCTACCTTGTATACCATTTATGAGCTTATGGGCATTTGCGTGCTTTCTACTTTTCACCTATTAAAATTTATGAGCGTTAGAGGTAATTTTTAAAATCATCTTGTGAAATTTTAATATATTTTGACTAAATTGTTTGGGATGGAATTTCAGGGTAACATGGTAACCTGAGTAATATTTTGTGAGCGTGTCAAGTCATTTGCCACAGCAAATATACCATTCTGTGTTCCCACTGACAATGTATGAGAGCTTCAGAGTCTGTACATCCTTGCCAACTAGCCTAGTGACTTAAAATCTTTTAAATTATATGCTTAGGTTTAGAATTACCATAATAATATATAAATATGTATATGTGTATAATTATACACATATTTATATAAATATATATTTATTTAATATCTTGTTCTTTGTACTTTTATTTTTCCTTTTCTGTCTTCTTTTAGATTGAGTTTTATTTTTCAAGATATTTTTCTGCTATTAACCTTTTAGTTATACGTTTATTTGTTATTTTTCAGATTCTAATGCTTTTGTCTTAATCACATCTGTACACTTGTGGGGTAGATGATCCTGCAATTATTTGATTATATGTACTCCTCCTAGTCTATGTGCTTTTTTACTTCCACATGTGATGAGCCTTATAAGGCTTGATTACTTTTTTGGTGCCTTTTTATAGATGCTTACTTATTTTGTCCTCTCATTTGTTCATTTATTTCTGTTCTGTGTTCATTTTTGTAGTTTAGGATATTTTTCCTTTAATCTGAGGAACTCTTTTTAGTAGTCTTTTATGTAGGGTTTATTGATGTTAAAATTATTTCTGTTTTTTCCTAAAAATAGCTAGTTTTATCTGATTTTTAAATCCATGATTTCTCAAGGTAGAGAACTGTAGGTTGGTTTTTCTTTTTTTCTTTTAAAATTTCATTTGTTGTTTTATGTTCCAAGTTTCCTTTGCTTGATTTATAAAAATCCTGCTTAAGGTTTGTATAATTTACTGAAATCTGTAGCTTGGTGTTTTTCATTAGTTTAAAAACATTTTCAAGCATTATTTTAAAAATACTGTGTCCTCTCATTTTTTATAATATGGTCACATGAGTCTACAATGTAAACATATTTGAGATCTTTTGTTTCAAATTCCTTGTTTGTTTTTTTAACATATTTTCATTCCTTTCATTATGTACTTCAATATAGATATTGAACCTTCTAGTTCACTAATCCTATTTTTATTCATCTCTATTGTTCTATTTAACTCATTGAGTGAATTCTTAATTTCAGATACTAAACGTTTCAATTTCAGAATTAACTTTGATTCTTTTTCATAGATTCATGTTCTTAAAAGTTTATTTTGTAATCTATGTTTCAGTCAACGGTGTGTACCTCTTCCACTTGTGCTTTATCCCAGGACAGTTATTGCTTATGATCTATCTTCTTTTGAGATGGCAATCATTTCTCAGAGTTTTGGCAAGTTTGTTGCCCTGAGATCTCAATTTTCTCAGGGGTTCATAACATTTTATTGTTGTAGATAAGCTAATTATTGTCTTGTTAGGTTTAGGAAAAGGTTCTTTGTGGTTTTCTACATTTGTAAGCAGAAAACAAATAAAACCATTTTGAAGTTCTTTTCTGTTAATTCTAAAATCTGAATTATATGAGTGTTTTTCTGCATGTGTTTCTTCCATTGTTTATTCATCTATTCTTGCTACCCTACATTATAATTTTAATTGGATATCACAGAATGTGGATTAAAAAGGCATGGCTTTTGTTAGAACTTGTCTAACGTTTATAGATTCTCTAATCCAGTGGTCTAGTTTGATATACTGTATTCCATAGGTTGAAACTAGAAATCCCACATCTCTTCTTCTTTCTGGACTTTTCAACTATTGCTTAGCACAGGTATCTAAATGAAGCAGGATTAAATAATTGCTGCTGTATATTTTTTCAAGGCTCAAATTGTGTTTGAAGAGATAAAAATCAGCCCTTCTAAAATAGGCACTTTACTGTGGGCCTTATAGGTTGTAAACCTTTTATACCTCCTAGAATAAAAGCAGGTGTTGGGTAACTAGGAAAAATCCTTAAAAGTGAAAATAGAAATGCAGAAATAATACTAGTCACTTAAGCTCTTTTGACTAAACTTCAAATCAGATATACTTTTTGTGTTCTTTGATTTGTGGTTATTAGAATGCTTTTTTAGAAGTTAAAATTTTTATCAGTCTCTCATGTTTTGCTCTCTAGGAAGATGAAGTCCTCAGTCCATTCTGAAGAGGATGATTTTGCTCCAGAGCTACATAGGAACGTTCACCCTCGAGAGCGGCCTGATTGGGAAGAAACACTTAGTGCAATGGTAAATTGTTTCTCTTGTAAAATATACCTTTAAGCATATATTTGTACTTGCATAATGAAAAGTAACTGAGGAAGCATTACTCACAGAAAAACAACTAATGTTTATTGTTATGTTGTTCATTTATTCAGGAAATATTTATTGATCACATACTGTAATCTAGACACTATGTGTAGAGTCTTCTCAATAAAACAGAAATATTCTGCCTTCATGGGGCTTATCTTTTTATAGGATATGAGGGACAAGTAAATAATTGAAAGTATGTCCAATGGTACTTGATATTGTAGAAAGTTGGTACAGAGCCACAGGGATAGAGATTGGTGGGATAGGTATGAAATGGTAATTGCTAGTTACATACTGTGGTCACACTTGCCCTTTGTGCAGAGATGGCATTTGAGCAAAGACCTAAAAGTGTATTTTTAGGGAGTGTATTTATCTGGAAATAGATCCTTCTAGGCAAGGGATGAATACATTCAAAGGCTGTGGCATGGGATACAAAAGTAAATGATAGGAAACACAAATAGTACAGTATTCCAGAAATTGAGTAAACTGGGGGAAGAGGTCTGAGAAATGATTTGGGTGAATGGCGAGCATAACATGTAGATTCTTAAAGTACTTTGATAACAATTTTGACTGTTTATGCCAAGTTACATGGGGATTATTAGAGGATTTTCAATCAAGAAGTGACATGATTTAGCTTATAATTTTAAACAACAAAAAGACAACATAATGAAAAATAGGCAAAGTGTTGAATAGATATTTCTCTACAGAAGGTAACACATGGCTAATAAACACATTAAAGATGCTCAAAATCATTACTTCTCAGCCCTTGCTAACACGTGTTCACTACTTCTGTCTCTACGAAGTTGCTTATTTAAATCTTTCATATAAGCTATTTCATTTAGCATAATGTTTTCAAGCTGTATCTGCTTATAGTATGTATCATAACTCCATTCCTTTTTATCTGCCTCACTGCCGTGGAGTCGCTTCTGACTCACAGTGACCCTATGGGGACAGAGTAGAGTACCTCTGTGTTTCCGAGACTGTAAGTTTTTACACGAGTATAAAGTTTCATCTTTCTCCCTCAGAGCAGCTGGTGGTTTCAACCTGCTGACCTTGAGGTTGGCAGCTTAACACACAATCCACTATGCCATTAGGGTTGTCTTTTTATGGATGTGTATTATTTCCTCATATTTTGTTAGTCCATCTATTGATGGGCAATTGGATTATTTTCATCTTCTGGCTCTTGTGAATATTGATGGATACAATGACCATTGGTGTACAAATGTGTTTTGAGTCTCTGCTTTCAATTCTTTGTAGTTTATACCTACAAGTGGAATTACTAGATAAAAGGGTAGTTCTAAAAGAACTTCTAAACTGTTTTCCATAGTGACTACCATTTTGCATTTATATCAATCAGTTTCTTCACCTTTGGGTTTGCATTGACACCTGTTATTTTCCTTAAAAAAACCAGACAAATGCAAACAAACAAAGTCATGGTAGCAGCTTTGAAGTAGTATCTCATTGTAGCTTTGGGTTTTTGCCTTTCACAAATACCTAATAAATTTGGGCATCTTTTCAGGTACTTATCGGTTATTTATATATATCTTCTTTAGAGAAATGTCTGTTCAAAGCTTTGCACATTTAAAAATTAGATTGTTTGTTTGAATTTTCTTTGTTGAAGTGTAAGAGTTCTTTATATACTCTCTATTAAGTTCTTATTGGTTAAAATGATTTGAAAATAATTTCATCTCACTGTGAGTTGTCTTCTTATTAAATTCTATATTGTGTTTTATTGTCTGTACTTTTGGTACCATATCTTAAGAGTCCATTGCTAAATCCAAGGTAATGAAGATTTTTCTGCTGTGTTTTCTTCTATTAGTTTTATAATTTTAGCTCTTCATCTTAGGTCATTGATCCATGTTGAGTTTATTTTCATATATTGTATAAGGTTAAGGTTCAAAGTTTATATTTTTCATGTCAGTATCTAGTTTTCTCAGCTCCATTTATTGAAAGAACTGCTCTCAGTCTTGCCCTTGCTTTTGGCACCCTTGCTGACAATCAGTTGACAATATATTCAAGGCTTCTCTAAACCATTGATGTATATGACCATTTTTATGCTAGTTACACATAGTTTTGGTTCCTTAACTTTGATATGTTTCGAGATGGTGAAGTGTGAGTTCTACCACTTTGTTCTTCTTTCCTCTTATTGGTGGCTTTTCAAAGTTCCTTAAGATTCCATATGAATTTAGGATAGATTTTCCTCTATTAAAAACTCCTTTGGAATTTTGTTTAAGAATTGCATTGAATATGTATATTGTTTAACAGTATTAAGCTTAGCAATATATTAAGTCTTCTAAGAACATAAGCATTTTCATTTATTCTCTTTTAATTCCTTCTAGCATATTTTGTAGTGTTAAGTGTAGATGTTTTAAAAAAATTTATTCCAAGGACTTTATTCTTTTTGTGCTATTATAAATTGGAGTGTTTTCTTAATTTATTTCTTTTTTTGCCCATTTTTGGGGTATATAGACATAGAATATTCTTGTATAATAAATGTATCCTGAAACATTTTTAATTTGTTTATTCACCCTTTGTGAATGTGTCTGCATATAAGATCATGTCATTTGTAGACGAAGATAATATTACATATTCCTTTCTAATAGCAAACAAAACTTATACTGCCATTGAGTTGATACCAACTCATACTGACCCTATAGGCCCAATAATTGCTCCAAGACTGTAAATCTTTACAGAAGCAGACAACCTCATCTTTCTCCTAAAGAGTTGCTTGTGGGTTTGATTTGCTGACCTTGCAGTTAGTTCACAGTGCTTAACCCATTGTGCCACCAGGTGGATCTTTCCAGATATAGATGACTTTGTGTCCTTTTTCTTGTTTAGTTATTTTGGCTAGAACATCTAGTACTATGCTGAATGGAACTGGTGAAATTGGGCCTTTTTGTCTTGGTCCTGATCTTAGAGGAAAAGCTTTCAGTCTCTTACTCCTGAATGTATGATGGTTTTTCATAGATAACTTTCATCATGTTTGAAAAATTTCAGTTTTTAATTTGTCCAATGTTTATATTATGAAAAGATGTTGAAATTTGCCAGACGCAATCAATTGAGGTGATTAGATGCTGCTATAAAGGCCTTGATAAACTTCTGCACCAGTCCCTCAGACCAACTCACGTGCTCAACCTCAAATTTTTAGAGGAGACGTGCCCCACTACTCACCTTTATACCTGAAAGCCACATTTTGCTGGCCCTACCATTGTGGGATGGAAGAATGGGCGATGGTAGCCTTTTGGTACATGTGCCTTGTCTAGGAAAGAGTAGCCTACCACCCTACCCCACTATACATCCTGTTTTGGCAAAATATTGTGGAAATTTTATCTCTCACAAAAGTCCAGTGTTAAATATTGAACATAATTAATATACTACTGAAAGCGAGGATATGTTAAACTATTGAATTTCTAGGTTTATCTAGGTTAAACCTGGATATGAATTTCCTAATTCTGTAGGTCAAAAGGTTTGAAAATGTTTTGTTCTGTAACAACCTGTAATATCCTAAAAGTGTTATAACTATTGAATTGCTGGTTAAATATATTTTTTGTTAATAACTGAGAGGAAAACGGCATTTTCTATTTAAAGCTTTAGGGGACCTAGTAGTTACTTTCGCTGATGGGAACTGTTGTACAGGTCCCTCCCTCCAATTTTAAAACTTAGGAAATATGCAAGTACTTCAAGCATGCATTTAGAAGAATAGTCCTACAGAGTACTCTGCTACTAGGCTGTTATTCCCCTTATAGAAATTTTATCAATTAAATGTCTTCCACACTTGTGATTCTTTTATCCTTCTACCTTTCTTCTATTTATAATCTGCCTCACTACATAAATAATGTATATTTATAACAAATCAATTATAATTTCTATCAATACATGAATGAATAAGCAAAATCTGATATATACATGATATTATACAACTATGGGAATAATCTTGCCCTTCAGTACTGCTTGACATCTGACAACATGAATACGTCTGGAGGGCATACTGAGTAAATAAAATAATCACAAAAGGAGAAATATTAATGATCCCTCTTTTATAGAAAGACAAAAACATATATTCACTCAAAAACTAATCTTCATTGCTTGTTACTAGGGAGGAGTAGGTGTGGAGAGGCACACTAACTCCTTAGTAGCCACTTTTTATTTTTGGTGGTGGGATGGTAACACTGTATGTCGGTGAAGTTTATACAGGTAAATGATGTGTGCTAAAAAGAACACTCACAAAAAATGCTTTTGGTAAATACTACAAAATATATTATTTTTCAACAACAGCCAAAAATACATAGTGGTTACATATGTACGTAGGTATGCATATGTGTGTCTGTGTTTTGTGTGTTTGTGTGTATGTATGTGTATGTGTAGTCATACATATCACATATTCCATGTGTGCATATAGGTGTGTGTAAACATATAAGTGGGCTTCAAAAATTTCATATAAAAATCCAATATCTTTTATTCCTTTTTTTTGCTTGAACTTTTTTACATTCCCTGCTGCACTTGGACATAAATATTATAAAACATATAGGGGGAAAAGTTAACTGTTCTTTCTTAGACATAGTGGAATGTCTTGTGGAAATGGATTCCTCAGTTTGAAGTTTTAGGACGACAATTTGGGTGAGGTGGGACAACTCAGTCATTTGGCATAATACAGTTTACAAAGTTTTTGTTCTGTATCCTACTTTGATGAGTAGTGTCAGGGTTCTTAAAAGCTAGTTAGGGGTCAGTAATGTAAAATACAACTCTGCCAGATCATGAGAGAAAGAAAGAAAGAAATTCAGAGGAGAAACCCCGCTACAAGACTACATGAACCGTGGCTTTATGTACCCTGAGACTGGAAGAACTAAGTGGTGCTCAGCTACTAGCCACTACACTTAGCAATCCTATAAGAGGAGAAACATATGGAACAGAACACAAATGTTTAAAAAGTCCAGATTTAAGGGCGTGTGGAGACTAGAGCACTGTCCCAGAGTTACAGTCAGTTCCCAGATTGGTGACCAGATGCTGTTCCACACCCAAAATTTAGTTGCATTTATACCTAATTTGGAACAGTTATATATTGTTTGTATGTGAATCAGTTAATTCTTTATCTTTAAAGTAGAGTTTGTAGAATACCTTTCTATACTGAAGAAGCATTAAGGAAACATTTCCACATACAGTAAATATCTTTTAATATAATGATAAAGTAATAATGATAATGTTTTGACACCACAAAGTAGCAGCATTTTTGTTATTTCTAACTATTTTCTTTTCCTCAGTTTTAACAGAATGGGCTTTATGGAGTTGTAGGTAAGTGACATTTGTAACCCAAGAGTGAAACTAGCCTTTGAGGATACTATTTAAAAAACACATCGGCTCATAAAATGAAGAATAGTACCAATGAGAACTACAAACTTTTAGAAAGTCATCTGTATGAGGTCAAATGGTCAACAGCAAAGATGAATAAAAGAACAGGGAAACTAGAGTACTGAAAGTGAAATATCTAGAGGGAAATAATGAGAATGCTAAGATATGAAAAAGGTAGCTAATGCCTCTGAACAATATGTGTAGTAATTATTAAATGAGAACCTACCTTTCTGTGTAAGCTTTCTTGAAACCACAAAATATTATTAGAAAAGTGGGTTTTTAAAAAGAAAAGTAAAATATTTGGTGTCAGAAGAAATATCACCATGTAATAAGTAGTCTCAAATCTAAACTCCCAAATACATTTCATGACTGATTTATAAACCCCAAAACAAGCATTAACACACACACACACACACACCCACCCCACACACACCTAAAAAGAGAAGTAAGCAACATTCAACTTTCTGGCCTCCTGCTTTTGTAAGTATAATCATATCTGGTATGGCTGGCTGCTTTTATGTCACATCAGCAGAGTTTAGTATTGACAGAGCTGAATGTCTCACAAGCCTGCAATATTTACCATTGACTCTTCAAGAGAAAGTTTGCCAACTCTGTTGTAAATGATTCTTTATTTCTTTAAAAGATATTTAAAAGATAAAAAACATTTTATCACTGTTGAGAATTATTAATCAATGATGAAATAATGCCTAGAATTATGGAAATAAAACTAAGGTCCTATCTTATATTTATAAAATTGTACAATGGGTCCATATTATAATTACAAGATAGAATAAATTCTAGCCATTACCAAAGAAGATAGATTCTTTTTTCTTTGATATACCTCTAGGAAGGAATAAAATATTTCTAAGGATGGATCATAAAAATAAACAATTCAAATGCTAAAATTGAGTCCAGTGATGCCCTCTTGTTATTCCCACCCACTCCAAAAAGGTCAATAACCCAGTGTTGCTGCGTCAATTCTGACTCAGAGTAACTCTATAGAAAAAAAGTAGAATTGCCTCAGAAGGGTTCCAAGGCTGCTATTCTTTATGAATGTAAACTTCCATATCTTACGTTCTCTTGCAAAGTGAATGGTGAATTCAAACTGCTGGGAGGATTCTTTCTTTATTTTAAAAATATTTTTATTGGGGGCTCTTACATCTCATCACAATCCATACATTCCTCCAATGTGTCAAGCACATTTGCACATATGCCGCCATCACCATTTTCAAAGCATTCTCTTCCCACTTGAGCCCCTGATAATAACTCCCCATTTCTTTTCCCTCCCACCCCCGTCCTCCCTCCATCATGAACCCTTGATAAGTTATAGATTGTTTTTTCCATATCTTATGTCGTCCTCCGTGTCCCCTCACAAACGTTTCCATTATTTGTCCCCCTGAGAGGGGGTTGATCCTTGTGATCGACTCCCCCGCACCCCCTCCCCAAATCCTCCTGGTATCTCTACTCTCCTTGTTGACCCTGAGGGGTTTATTTATCCTGGATTCTTTGTGTTGTGGGCTCTTATCTGTAGCAGTATGCACACTCTGGTCTAATCCGATTTGTAAGGTAGAATTGAGGTCATGAGATTAGGGTAAAGGAAGCAGCAAAGAACTAGAAGAAAGTTGTGTGTTTCATTGGTGCTATCCTACACCCTGACTAGCTCATCTCTTCCTTGTGACCACTCTGTGAGGGGATGTCCAGTTGTCTACAGATGGGCATTGGTTCTCCACATCATGCCTCCATGGACATTGGGTATGATTTTGCTCTGGGTCTTAGATGCCTGATAACCTGAGCCCATGGACACCTAATGATTACACAGGCTGGTGTGCTTCCTTGTGGGCTTTGTTGCTTCTCAGCTAGTTGGCTGCTTGTTTATCTTCAAGCCTTTAAGACCCCAGACGCTATATCTTTTGATAGCTGGGTACCATCAGCTTTTTTCACCACATTTGCTTATGCACCTATTTTTTCTTAAGTGATTGTGCTGGGCAGGTGAGCATCACAGGATGCCAGATTTGTAGAACTAAGTGTTCTTGTATTAAGGGGGTACTTGAGTTGAAACCCAATGCCCATCTGTAATCTTAACATATAGATATGAGTACATAGTTCTATTCCCCTCTCATTATATGTATATTTACATATGTAATACCTGTATTTAGACCTCTATGAATGTCCTTTGCCTCCTGGTTCTTTCCTCTATTTCCTTTTTACTTCCATCTTGTCCCACCATCGTGTTCAGCCTTCATTCAGGTTTAATAATTCCTCGCTGCCACATTGCCCTTGATTGAGCTCCACTAGGCGTCCTATGACCTTCCTACCATTGATTTTAGTTCATTTGTTGTTCTCTTGACCCTGGGTTGGTTCCCCCCACCCCCTCCTTTTTCCCATCTCCTCTTCTCCCATAGGGAGGATTAATTCTTACATGTTTGTACTTTGTTAGTTTATATTTTTGAAGAATCATGTTTGTTTGTTTGTTTGTTTTTAACATTTATCTAAATTATCCTTTATCTAAAGCGTGCATACATGTGCACTTCTCTCTCTCTAGAGATAAACTCCCCTAGGCACCCCACCATGCGAAGACTTTGGAGTCATGAAGGGAGCCCCTGTACCTATTGTTCTGAGATAGTGCTTAAAGCTCTTAAACTAAAAATATCTACTAAAGTCATCTTAAAACCAACCAATAGTTAGCAGAAATAGTAAAGAATGTCTGCCTTGAGAACTTTGCTTCTTTAAGATCTTTCATTATGGAATAAAATTGACTACAACTTGAAATATTAGATAGGAAATTTAGGGGACAGAAATTAAGTGTATGGAGGAGGAGCAACTTGAAAAAGGAGGATAATTGCACAACTCAGAGTAATCATCGTTACCAATTTATACATGTAAAACCTGTTGAATTGGTTTATATTCTGCTCTGTATATTCTCAACAACAGTAAAAGTAAAGTATAAAAAGAAAGAACCCATTTTATCCCATATCATTTTCCCCTATTGAATCACATGGTATTTCCAATAATAATTTAGCTCAGATTTTTCTGTTAGCAATCACAGGTTACAAATAAACCATAGGCTATAAATAAATCATAGGTAATGTAGCATTTACTTATTTTCTCATTGGCCACAAGTGTTAAGAACCTTTTGATTTTCAGGGTTTCTTCTTCTTCTTTTTTTAATGATGCAGTTGAATATGCCAGTAAAGTTGAAAATTCACCACTATGGAAACTTTGGCAATCTAAGGAGTAAGTTGGAAGTATTACATATGTATCATTTTTAGATTTTTGAGTGAGAAATGCATGTTGTGATCACCTAATACATTTATCTTACCATTTTAACCTTTATTAATCATTGTAACCAAGATTTTTTTATTCCAACAACTCCCAGAGGACATGACAGTTGACGTTGAAATTTGATTATAAGAGCATGAACATCCTAATATTCAGAGAAAACTTCCTTAGATTTAGTACAGTTAAATGTGTAAATTAGATGGTCTCCTACCTGCCCCCCCCAAAAAACCCCAAAATAAAACGTAAACCGACTTCAATGATAATATTTTGAAGAGATTATTAAATCAAGATGCATTCGTCTTGGTGGAAAATCAGCAGAATCATTGAAATTCACTATATATTTAAAATTAGTACTAGAGGAATAGTCATAAACCCTTTCTCTTTATTATATTTCTTTAAGGCAAGAGGAGCAGATGTTCCAGAGATTCCTGGAGACCTTACTCTTAAGACATGTGGCAGTACAGCCAGTATGAAGGTGAAACATGTGAAAAAGTAAGTAGTTAATTTTACAGATGGAGCCTTGATGACACAATGATTCAGAGTACAACTGCTGTCTGAAAGATCAGTGGTTCAAACCCCTTGGCCACACTGTGCCAGATAGCTGCTTCTGTAAAGATTTTAAACCAACCAAACTCATTTCCATTGAGTTGATTCTGACCCATAGCAATGCTGTAGATCAGCATAGAAATGCCCCTGTGGTTTTCCAAGATGGTTTTTTACCTCTTTATGGGAGTAGAAAGGCTCATCTCTCGCCCTCAGAGAGACTGGTTGTTTTGAACTGTGATGGGCTGGTGGTTAGCCGTGCAACAGATCACCTGCTGCCTTGGACATACTAGGGGTAGTTAGTTCTGCTCAGTCCTGGAGGAATGCTAAGAGTTGGAATAAACTTGACAGCCATGGTGGATTTTACAGTGGATTTTAAATGAATTTCATTTTAAATGAAAACCAGTTCTTTAGTTTTTTTAAAATTTTACTTAGATTCTTTACTGCAGAGACTCCTAATGTCCGTACATTTGATTATGATTCAACTCTTAACTGTGACTCAGCAAGAAGTAGAATAGGTTTGCAGACTGTTTATTGGTAAAAAAATATTCTTCATTTTTATTCTTAAAACAATTAATGTTACTATCTGTTAACATTGTTTAACTGGAATGATCTAAGTTTGTCTTCCTTATTATCTTCAATGCAAGCAGTTTTTTGTTGTTTGAGTTGTGAGATTTCATTGTCTCAGTGTTTGCCTTTTAGAAGTCTGAACTGGATACCAATAGTTATCTCTTAAGTGAAAGATCTAAAAAGATCTGTTTTAAATCTCTCTTTTAACTTACTAGAGGATTAGATAGGATTCCTTTGGGTGGTGTATATGTTTAATGCACTTGGTCAACATTCAGATTCACCTAGGGGTATTTCTAAAGAAAGGCCTGGTGTTGTACCTCTGAAAAATCTGTCTTTTGTATACCCTGTTGTAGAGCATGTTCTACTGACACATTTGGGGTTGCCATAAATCAGAATTGATTCTAAGAGGCAGCTGGTTTGATTTTATAGATGGTTAGTTATCATTCATTTCTAAGTAGGAAAATATAAGGATAAAAATGTTCATTCTGCACCCAGATCCAACAATCCAGGACTGATGGGCTGTGACAACATTCACAGGTAAAGTCCACTTTTGTATTTTGAGGTGGCAATGCTACATCTGACTGGAAGCTGCTTTTCAGTTTCCATAACATTCACAAGTAAAGCTTTGTCCATAGGCATTATGTTGGGTCAAGTTTAGGAGAATATAGAGATGCTTTTTAAAAAATGACCTGTACACCTAATATCATTTATATATGTTTCAGTGTATCTTTGGATTCGTGTGAATTATGTGTTTTCATGTGCATGGGCTTATTTAATATTTTTGCTTGCATGAGCTTTTGAAATCCATATTTTTCCTTTAGGTTTAGTCATTTGACCATCCCAGTATCTTTTTACTGACTTATTTTCATGAACTCCAGGTTACCCTTCACCAAAGGTCACTTTCCGAAGATGGCTGAATGTGCACATTTCCACTATGAGAATGTTGAATTCGGCAGCATACAGGTATATTAGTAATATTTTGTACATCCAGAATTAAGATATGTAAAACTGACAGGTGACACGAATGCAGTTTTTTCTATTGGTAATCTCTTTGGATGGGGTAAAAACTTTTGATCTTTTCATTTGACCAATACTTGATGCCTGAAAACGGATCCCCATTTCAATGGAAACAAGATGATAGAACCGATGTTAATCTTAGAATTTCTATCAAGATTTCTTGACAGATTTTGTCTGTGTTTATGGCAAGGAGTAGTCGACTTGCTCCCTGACTTGGTGTTGTGTCATAGTAATGATGAGTAAATCCGAACCAAGAGGTCTGACTTACTGTGATTTATGTATGGACACTCTCACAAATAGTAAATGAGAAGTGAAGTTCCACATCTCTGTCAACTTTCTGTCGACTTTAACAAATCTGACTAGGATAGGATCATCTCTCATTATGTTCTAATTTGCATACTTCTGTTTTCTAATGTGTTGAGTTGAGCATCTTTTAAAATTTTTATTGGCAATTTGAGCTTCCAGTTTTTAAAATCTCCAGATCAGGTTTGCTTTATTTGCTCTTATTAATTTATGATAATTCTCTGTATTTTCTGGATGTTATTTAGTTCTATGATGCCATATCTAGTTCTTTTTATTTTTATGCAAGTGTTGGCATGCAAGTTGAAGAACCTTCTCCCATATTATGGCATGTTTTTTCATCATTTTCATGCTACTTGTCATATACAAGCATATTTTATTTTGTACATGCTGATTTTATTTATTTATGCAGTTGTGTGTATGTACAAGAGGAGCCCTGGTGACATAGTGGCTTACGTGGTGGGCTACTAACCTGAACTTCAGCAGTTTGAAACCATCAGTTGCTCTGTGGGAGAAACGTGAGACTTTGTACTCCCATCGGAGTTGCAGTCTCAGCAAACCACAGGGGCAGTTCTACCCTGCCCTATAGAGTTACCACGAGTCAGAGTTGACTCCATGACACTGAGTTTGGTTTGGTTTTTAGAGTACTGTGTAGAAGCATTATGATTTATTGTTTCTTTCTTTCATACTTACGTTATTTTGTGGTTGTGAAGACTTTCCCTTTTATTTTAATAGCTTCGGAGTTTTGTTCTTCACATTTGGGTTACCTGGGTTTGATGGTATTTATATATGGTGAGAATAGATGTTAGGTGCCAGAGAGTTGGTTTTGACCCAAAGCACAACTGCACGGCCCTGTGCCATCCTCAGTTGAATATTAAAATATTTTCCCCCTGGTGTGTTATGGCACTGACCAGTCAGAATATATGCTCACCACAATACTGGAGCTGGGAGGGCCTTATTCCTCCTGTACTAAGCAGTGTCCTTGTGGTTGCTTCAGTGATTTGAGGGACTATTTTAATAGCTTAACATTTGTGAGTCCAACAAATGAGTCAGCCTCTTCCTCCAGCTTTGTTATGTGTCATTTCTATGGGTGCATGGCTTCATGTTGGAACTCCTACTTTGTTACATCGGTCAAATTTTATAACCTTGATAATACTGCCCTGTTTTAATTACTATGAGTTTTAATTACTATGAGTTTTGTAAAGTGATACCACCGATTCATCTTCAAGCTGTCTTGGTTTTTCTATTCCTTTGCACTCATATAAGTACAGAAACTACATTCTTTTTGGCATCAAATTAAATAATGTGTCCTTAGTATAAAAAATTGGCAAGTGAATGTAAAAAATATGAAAAAACTTTTTTATATGCTATATCATAGGTATGTTAAGAATATAACTTCTTACATAAATACAAGTGTAAGTCTTTGCACTCTTTGCTTTTAAAATAGGCTAATAGAAAAAAATCCTGATCTTTACACTTGAGAACATGATTAAGAAGTTGAATCGGTCAGATTCATGTATATCTATATTTTAACATAGAGACGTTCTCCAATGCCAGTTATCCTAAGTTGCTATCTGGAAAAATAAACTTAAGAGATGTACTAGATGTAATTGATAGTATGTCACAGTATGCAACTTTTTGTAAACGAGTTAGATGATTCAATCTACAGGATTTATGAAAATGCAGAATATTTTACTTCAGCAAAATGTAAAATTGTTTAAAATATTAATTGAGATGTAAAATTAAAAAAACATTAATTGAGATTAATAATGATTGCCTACTGTGCCATCACATAAAGGATATTATCTTTCTTTTATATTATAGTCTTGATATTACATTTCATGTCGAATTTCTTAGCTCAGTAAGCTAATTAGGAAGCAGATATATGGTTTTCATTTGTTAAGTATTTTGACTTTCTTGTTTGAATAATTTGGTTCACACTGTCATTTGGAAAATTATTTTCTAGTTTTTTTGTTTTTATTTTTATCTTTAAAACATAGAATGAATTATTTTGGAAGCTGTAAACACTGCAAAAAGTTTTAGTGCCCATTATGAAAGTAAGTAGGATGCAAAAGATATAAAATCAATTACAAAATCAATTTAAGGTTTTGACATTTATATGATGGACATAAATTCAGAGTAACATTTTATATAATGTTAATGGTAAGGTGGCCTTAGTTTGGAGATAGAGATTCTGATTTCTTTTTTGCCTTTAAGAAAACTTTTCACCTTGGGAAAGTACTACTGCCTCTTTGAGCTTCAGGGGTATTTGCTACTGCACCCTAGTGTTTTCCTTTTTGGTTAGTTATTGTGTACATCCTCCATCTAGTTTTGTGCTGCTCTCTCTTCTATGTCTTCGGAGGCCGACATATCTTGCCTTCTAGGTTTTCTTGTCTTCCCTGGTTGGGTTCAGCCAAAGTCAGATACCATCAGGAGAGAAACTGGTTTCCATCACTAAATTGTGCCATTAAAAACTGCTTCAGTCCATCTTTAGGCAATTGGATATCCCCTTACAGAAGGCTCACTGGAGAAGATGAGCCAGTCAGGGTGCAGGGTAGCAATGATGAAACATATTAACTTCCCTCTAGTTCGTAAATGCTTCCTCCCCCCCACTATCATGATCCCAATTCTACCTCACAAATCTGGCTAGACCAGAGGATGTACATTGGTACAGATAGCAACTGGAAACACAGGGAATCC